GGAGCGTGGCGAACGCTGCGCTGCGGGAGATAAGTGAACAGAGCCCCATTGTCCTCCGCCAGCGGAGGGAGGCCCCGGAGCCTGCAGAGCGCTGGGGGTGGATCCTGCCTAGAAAGGCCCCGTCACCTTGAAAAGCAGCTGCAGCTTCGCTCCACGTGTGGCCCAATCCACAGCCAACCCGTGTCCCCGTGGGAGCTGCCCGCTAGTGGGGAGCAGAGCCTGGCTCTCCCCTCGCCCCACACCCCAGCGCCAAGCACCCAGGCCCAGCACCTTGTAGCAGACTCTGCGCCCCGGCCCCTCCTGCTGTGCAAAGGAGCCGGCGTTACATACGAGACCCGCGGGCAGGGCAGGGCAGAACCGCCAGCCCCAGGCTGGCTGCACTGGGTTTGCACCGCTGTACCTGCACCGAGTGGGGGAGGGATCCCGGCTGCTGCACGCTGCCCTCGCACGAGAGGCTGGGCGCAGAGACCGCCCAGGGCGTGCCACTGCAGAGCGTGTGCAGAGCTTCCCCCTGCGGCTCTGGGGGGAGGTGGCAACGGGAGGCTGAGCAGGCAGCGTGTGGGTCACAGCAGTGATGGAAGGGGGCGGTTGGGCCCTGCGTCTCGTTCAGCCCGATGCCTAGTGGGGCTGGGCAACGCCCATGGCATGGGAGTCGTTACCACAGTAAGGGCTTGAATGGCCTCTCCGGGGACCTGTCTCCAGAACTGGGGGGTAGCCCAGGGCACTGGTAGCGCTGGGCATCTGTTGCCAGCAGTGCGGCTTCCCCTGCCGGGGGCCACCTGCCACCCACGTCCGAGCACTGGGCTGGCTGCAAACGCCGCGTCTGCTCCAGGCCTCTGGCCTGAATCCCTGCCCTTAACCCTTTGCTTCCAGCCGGGCTCCCCCAGTCTCCAGGGCCCAGGAGATGGGTGGGGGCTGCAGCTGGGCTCTGCCCTGTGCGGTGCCTTCCGCCTGCTCCCTTCTCAGCCTGACCCCCAGGCTGCCCTCTGCCGGCTCACTGAGAGAAACGCACACTGGGGGGGATCAATCTGATGCAGGGGTGAGGGGGGGAACACCCCCCCCAGCCTCCATCTCAGAGCTGGGACGCACCCACCTCCTCCGTGCGCTCACGTGGGAGTTTTGTCTCCAGCCGAGAGACTCTGTCGAAATTTCCTGCCCAGAGAAGTGGGTTTTTTAGGCCAATAAAAAGCATTTGGCAAGTGGGCTCGTTGCCTCCTTCAGGGTGTCTGCGGCGGCTCCGGGGCTGGGTTCTGCGGGTCGGTGTCACCTGAGAGGTTGGCTCCTGCAGGCCACCTGGGCTGGGTATTTCTCAGCTGGACTCGGGGCAGGGGGTACGTGGGGCCCGCCCTGTGGGCCTGGTGCTCGCTGGCTGGCCGGGCCCTTTCCGCTCAGCATAGCTGCCCCTGGCTTTGCACCACATCTGCCCTCATGCCCTGGCCCCGGGCACCCACTGCACAGCAGGGCACGTCCCAGACACCAACTCATGACTGTGCTGTCTGTCCTGCAGCCACGCCAGCCTCGGGCCTTTCCCTGTGGTTCTCCAAGCACCAGTGTCTCTGCCCTGTGGGAGATGGGTAAGTGCGGGCCCTGGCCCAGCCCCGCCTGGTCCCACCCCCCTCGCTAGCCACAGCGGTGCTGATCCCTGGTCCCTGCACCCACCTCACACGGCGACACGGGCTGGCTTCACGGTCTCGTTCCTTAGCGGGTGCTGGCTGCCGCCCCGGCCCTCGCCAGCTGGAGGTGCCCCCGTAGGACTGCTGGGGGTTGGCTGGCTGCAGCAAAGCATGCTGGGGGCAGGAGCCGGGGCAGCCCCCCAGCAGGGCTCCGCCCTGGGTGCAATCCAACCCTGGGGGTGGTGCCACTGCTGGGCTGTGGGTTTGCCCAGGCTCGTTCGGTGTTGGTGCCGGCAGGCTGCTCCCCCGCCCCAGTGGGGTCCAAGCGCAACTGATCCAGCCAAGGGGTCTGCCGCAAGCCGGAGCCACGGCGGGCGGGCTCCTGCCGCCAGGGACAGCTGAGCCCACGTGCGGGGCCTGCCGCAGCCGGAGGGGCCTCGGCCCTCGTTAGCCACGAGGGGAGACAGAGACAAGCTGGCAGCTGGGACAAACGCGACACAGCCCCCCCCGTGTGCAATTCCCCCAGCTCAGCCCCCGGCCTGGTGCACACGCCCCCACCCAGTCGTGCTGCATTAAATCCCAGCCCAAGGCCGGCCCTGGGGCTGCTGCTGTGGGATAGCAGGAGGGGCTCATGCAGGCCAGAAAACACAGGTCTCCTTCCACCTGCCCTGCTCTTCGGGCGCAGGCCAAGGCAGGAGAAAGGGCTGGGGAGCAGCTGGGGGTCACAGCAGCCTGGCCCCAGGCCTCACAAGGGTCTGAGATGCCATGACCCCTGGGTCACCTCCCTCCAAGCTGGGATGATGGGGGGGGGGCAAGGCCTGCAGGGAGTGGGGGCTGCTCCAGCAGTGGACAGAGCTCGGGCTCTGCCCTCTGAAATGCCGGACACGGCCACACCTGCCAGGCTGGGATGCTGGACTTCCGCACTGGGGGTGGGGTCGGCTCTCCTGGCATCACCCGGCCCCGGCTCACCCCCAGCCCCTAGTTACAGGAACCTTCTGGGCCCGTTGTTCCAGCATCATTGCCGCAGTGCCCGTTGGGGGCACGGAGCAGGAGCTGGGGAAATCACTGGCCCCTGGTAGCAGGACAGGTCTGTGGCTTTCCAGGCCCCAAACCCCGGGGAGAGGCCGGGGCCCAGATGCTCGTGTTCCATCCCGAGGCTGGGCGAACG